AGCGAGTGGTGGCGGTGCTGGGGAGAACGATCACATCTTCTCAGAGGCAAATCTGGTTTTGCAGTCAGAAGGAAAAACTACATTTAGTAGAAGGAAAGAAGCTTAATAAACAAGATGTGGTGAGGGAAGAGTGGAAGAACTGCTTCCCAGATGCTTATGGCGAGATAGGGTGGTTTTGTAGATGCTGCAGTTCATCACCACAGAACAGAGGTTATTGCTTGAAGTCCAGCTTTTCAGAGTTGGATTAAAAATAAGCTTGGTTAAGTTTTTATGTTTCCTCCCAAGTGCTAGCCTTCGTTATTATGGCCTTCATGAGCAGAAGGTATGCTTTTCAGTATGCCAACCATTCAAGTAGGACATTGTCTCCTGCCTAACAAAGATCAATTGAAGCACCTATGATGCAATTGTGTTTTGTTTGAATTAAATGTAAAATAGACTGATATTATTTTCTGACATAGACCTCTAAAATGCAGCATTGTGTTCTGTACCATGCTGTTTTTCTTGCAGGTTGAAGAGCTCACTGACGAAATCAAAAAAAGGAAGGAGAAGGATACATCTAGTGTGGAAGTACAGACAGAGGACTATGCTGCGTGGTCACAAGCAGGTAGAGAGTGTGGTGATTACTTAAACAGGCATCCAGAACAGTATCTTATTTTGAAATTTTTTGTTATGTAAAATACGTTTCAAGTCTCTCTCCTTAGCTGCATTAAACTTGGTAACCTGACATTATAATTTGGACCATTTCCTATCTATTCAAGTGATTCCTTCTAGAACAGGATAAAATGTAGCAGAAGTCACGCCATGGTAATCTGTTACTATAGTAGTCTCATATATTACACACCTACATGTTTTGCCAATTTTTAAAGTACATTAAAACAAGACATTTGTTCAGTAAGAGTAGAATAAATTCAAAGTGGAGGCACTACCTAATAACTGATTTTCATTAGACTAGTTACATGCATAAATTTCCCGTTTAAGATTTGGGATCCTTGAACTGCATTGTGTAAAGTACTGCTTTTCTAATTTATGCAGCTTCAACTTTTTTTTTTCCCCTGCAGATTATTACTACTATGAAAACTATTACAATCACACCGATACTCAAGATTGTGCATCTGAACTGCCAGTGCAGCACAATCATGAGACTGAAGACACTGAGCATAATTTCACAGAGGAATCACAGACAGGTGCTAGTATTCCTTTGAGCAACGAAGCTGCTGAAGGTGGAGAAGAGGAAGATTTAATCCAGAATTCACAGGTCATAGAACTGTTTGGGCTTTTACCAGTTTTGAAGTCAGCACTCTCTAAATATTTCATTTAATTTAAAAGATGTGCTTTTGGTCTTGATGTCATTGTATGAAATGATTTTCTGTGATGGGCTGGTGCTGATGATAGCAGAGAAACAGCCTTTTGCTTTGAAACTAGTTGTTTTTGTGGTATGTTCCAAGTGTGACTGTCACGGTTTGACTTGGCTGCTAGCTGAACACCGCACAGCTGCTCACTCACTCTCCCCACTTCTGGGGAATGGAGGAAAGAATTAAAGGGGTAAAGGGAAAAGAGACTCATGAGTTAAGAACAATTTAATAACTAAACTACAATAAAATTTAAAAACATAATAATAATAGTAATATATACAAGTGTACAAATGAGTGATACACAGTAAATTGCTCACCACCCGGTGACCAAGGCTCAGCCCTTTCCTGGGTAAAAATCTTGGAGCAGAGAGAGTCCCAAAACTGTAATCTCAGAAACAAGAGTCTGAGAGCTGACTGAGAGAGAGAGAGGCAACCCCAAGAGAGCAAACTTGCAGATAGCTCCTCATAATATACCAGGCATGACGTGCATGACATGGAATATACCATTGTCCAATTTGGGCCTCAATCCTAAACCTAAGGTCAAATCCTCAACTAGTGGTTGGGGCTGTGCTCCCTCCCAGCTTCTCCTGCACCTGCAAACAGTGGCACAGCACGGGAAACTGAAAAGTCCTTGACTGTCCTGGCGACAACTGTAAACATCAGTATGTTATCAGCCTTCTTCCCAGCACAAATCCAAAACATTCTCTCTTACTAGCTACTGTAGAGAAAGTTAACTCTGTCCCAGCCACAGCCAGGACAGTAACATACTTTTGGATTTGCTGGCTTGTTTTGGGTTTTTTTTTAAAAAGCACATTATAAAACATGTCCTACATAGCCTGGAAGGATGGCTGGTTTTTGTCAGCAGAGTATGTTCAGTATGACCATGCTTACTTTCTTAAATTGTACTTTTTT